TCGTACAAGAGGCACATTAGTGCGCATAAACATAACATTCTGTTAAATGGCTGAAATCCATGTAAGAAAACAAAAAAGAAAAAGGAAAAGAAAAAAAAAGAAGAAGCACTTCCTTTGTTATGGTATTAGACCACAATCAAGTCCAGCAAAATAATCTCAACAAAAGAAAGCCTGCACTGAAATTTTCATTATTTTAGAAAAAGGTTAAGGTGCGGTTTCAATAAGGTTGCAACCTCAAACAATCCAACTAAGCTGCGTGTCCAAATTTTATCATGTAATTTTGGGGTAAAAAATTCTTAAGATTATCTGAAAATTAATTTTCATGTCTAATTTAAACTCTAAAAATGGTTAAAATCTAGTAGATCTATATGCATATGAAAATCTTGAAAATTGACAATCTAGATAATACATTGCAAGATGCATTATTTCTGGGACTCAAATTTTTTTTTTTTGTTCATATTCATACATATCGATTCTAAATAATACGTTGCAAGATGTATTATTTCTAAGACTCAAAAATTTGTTTTTGTTTTTTTTCCATATTCATACATATCGATGTGAGATGATCCGTTAGAGGGCTTTTCAACATTAAAACAATCTTTTCCGATGGATTTTTGAGGTGTATCATTAAATCTACATTTTCCTATTTTTAAAAGTTACAACATAATTTTCGCATATTTCAAATGTGAAAAAATAGAAAGTTGAGGATAGTTTTAAATCCCTAGTTTGAAATAGATATAACTGTATATTATTTTTCTAAAGAAAAATTTATCAAAATGCACTTAAGAGGAGATGTATTTAATATTTTGTAGATTATTTTTATTTGATCTAGAAAAATACAAGGAGTTGGAATAGTTTAAAATAGCTAAAATATGTACATTTTGATAAAGGATGAAGTTTTTATAAGACTTAGGCTTTATCCAAACAAAATAAAGCCTCACATCAAATTCTCGTCTAGAAAATACTTCCGTCAATGGAAATCTCCATGATGGCCTCTCAAATCAATTTCCAAAACCATCAATAAAATTTGAAACTAAAAAAAAAGACTAATCTTGTCGATCTATGAATGCTTATATTTAACGAGAAATGGACCGTCTAGATAATTTGTTATAATATACATTATTTTTAGAGCTTGAATTCTTATTTTTTTCACAACCATAATATTCAAGCCTAGAAGATTCATGCAAATGTTTTACAATGCTTGAATTGCAATTTTCGATGAGTTATGAGGTGAGGTTTTGTTGATAGAGTTGCAGCCCTCTCGAACTATTTTCCTTTAATAAATTTCTCTTTTTCAATTATATATTTGAAAGTACTTGGTGTGGTTTGCATAAGGCTGAAGCCCTAAACAATTAAAGTATGACGCACCTTCAAATAGTGTCGAAAGATATCGTTTCAGTACCAAAAACCTTTATGATGGCCTGAAAATTTATTTTCATATCTAATTATAAAATAAGGCTAAAAAATAGTGTTGATCAAGTAGATCTGTAAACACTGAATGATCTAGATAATGCATTACAAGATTCACTATTTAAAATATTTGAAGTCCATTTTTGTTTTTCGTTCATCATCTGAAGGTTGAGATGATCGGATTTGAGGGTTTTTCAGCATCGAAACGACTTCTTCTAGTGAATTTATGCGATGCACTTCGTTTGATGTTTAGGGCTCCAAACTTATATAAACTTTTTCCTACTTTAAATGCTATAAGCATAGCAAAAAATTCAACTTTTTTTTAATATAAAATAGGAAGGTGTTATATTGCTCATTTTGAAATCCCTTATCTTAAATTTTTATAATTTTTTTTTAATGATTAACTTCAAATTGAAAGCAGGTTTTATATTACTTGTCTTCAACTCTTTTATTTAATATTAGAATAAATAATTAAAAAAAAATATTTACAATAAAAAAATCCAAAACGATGACATTCTACTCATCCTTTTCATTTTGAAGATAATGAATTAAGGAACTTTAAAAATTTAACATTTTTTCTTAATCTGATATATATAAGGAATTCTTATTTGTCAGAATATCTTGTCCTACTTTATAAGAAGAAAAGAAATTTTAAAGTTGTTACCAAATCAAGTAAAATTTAAGGCCCATATTGCATGATGTTCATAGATAAATTAGACATAATAATGAAACTAGACCAAAATTTATGTGACGCTTGGTGCAACTGATAAAAAAATAATTCATTTTTTACTACTATATTAAATTGGTAAACAAAAATATTTTTAAACAACAACATATTAACTAAAACTAAAAATAAAAATAAGAAAGTTCTATATAATTATTATTTTATTGAAAAATAAAAGGTTAATGAAATTCCGATTGAGAGAGAGAAGATTAGAAACCAATCTTTCGCTATAAATTCCTTTTGAAGAGGTTTATTTATGGATTGGTTAGAGAGAGAAGTTTCATAGAGAATAAATTTCTTTGTTTTGTAGGATTATATTCATAGAAATGGAAGTGTAAGAAGTAAAAAATTTCAGTTGTGAGCTATGGTTACATCGACGTTGGGGCAGTAGTGTGCAATGGACAAACATTGTAAGAAAACTAGAAGGTAATATACATTATAGGGTGTGGTTTACTTAAATAATTAGATTAAAGGGCACATGTAAACTTTGTCATGAAATGTATTCTTGGTGTCGAAAATTCTTAAGCTGCCTCGAGAGTCTATTTTTATCTCTAATTATACAAACTCTAAAAATAGCTCAAATAACTCAGATTTATAAACGCATGAAGAACTGGAAAATGAACTATTCATATGATGTGTTACAAGATGAACTATTTTCAGGGTTTGAAATCTATTTTTTTTTTTTTATATCTATGAATCTTGATGTCGAGATGATCAATTGGATATTTTTTCAACATCAAAACAGCCTTTCTTGAAAGATTTCAGAGGTGCACCTTAATTCTTGATTTTAAGGTCTCAACCAGC